TTTCCATTCCATTACATCAGCTCCTCCTGACCACCCAAAAGCTTACTCCCAGTGGATTCCCTCTGCCTGGACTAAACCCAATCAGCCTGAACCTCGAACAAGGAAGTGTCTCCAGGGAAGATGACTAATGCTCATCAGCTGCACATGAAGGCTCTTTTCTCTCTGGAATTTTAGTTCGTCTAGTTCTTGTTGTTTCTACAGCTCTATGATGTCTTTAGCAACATGAATTTTACAACTTATTAATGTTTTTCTAGTCATCGCAATGAAACGTTGTATAATAAACCATCATACGTAAGTGGCTGCCACTGTGTATGACACAATTATTCTCCATATGCAGTATACGTCAACAATTTTTCTTCAAATACTGATTTTTAATGATATGTTTTTGTTATATCAATAGTGTGATTTTCTTTCCTTCGAGGTGCTCAAATAACTGAAATAGAAAATAATATTTTAGATTGTGTACTTTCACTAAAACTTGACCTAGTATAGATTATAGTAGCTTGTAATACATTAAATTACCCAGATCGCAGGCAGTTGGTTTTTAGACAATGTACAAATGGGCCATTCAGCACATTGTTTTATAATCTTTGGCCCCCCCAAAAAATGATGCTTGATATGGCTCTAAGACTTGCTGGCTCTTCCAATTTTCCAATTGCAATTGTTTTCTATTTGAGTTTTAAATTTTAGTTTTCACATTTTTCATTTCTAGAAGGTCTATTGGTTCCTTTTCTTCTGCTTTATCACTGTTATCATTTCACGTTCCCTGCAGATCATCTTGACTTTGTAATTCTTTCTTTAAACATGCAAAATATAGTTGTTTTAAAGTCAGTGGCTGGTTATTCCCATATATGAAGCCTGGGCAGGTCTGTCATTGTTAGTTCTTGCTCCTATAGTCTTGGTTCCTTGTGTGTCTGGTTATCTTTGACTGTGTCTTGCTCAATGCCTGTGACAGGTTATTTTTGGAAGCTCCTTGAGGCCTAGGATGGATGTGCCCTCGTCCAGAGAGGTTTTGAATTAGTCCTGCTAGGCATCAGAGGACACTCCAAAGATCTTGATATTCATCTCATCTCAGTCTAAATAAACAGCAATCCCTCACCCAGTTACTAAAGTCAGAGACACAAGACTCCTCTCTTTTCTTCATCCCCACTTTAAATCCATTAACAAATCATGTTAATTCTGTCTCCATAATATTCCAGACCCAGCCACTTACCTCCATCTGTGTCTGGTGAAAGCTCTCATCTCCCCTTGCCTGGATCACTGCAGAATCCTAACGGTCTCTCTGCTTCTACTCCTCCAATCCATTCTCCACACAACTGTCAGAGGGATGGCTTAAGCATGTGAATCCTATTGTGTCACTCCCCTGCTTAAATCTCCTCAGTGGATTCCTATCACACATGAAATAAAATCTAAGTTTCTTAACATGGTCGAAAGGCCCTGAGTAATCTTTTTCCTCTTCTCCAACCGCTCTTCCTCTTGCTGCCCGTGATCCAGCCACACTGAATTTCTTGCTGTTCCTTAAACAGGTCAAATCCTTCCCCGTCTAAATACGTCCGCTCTTGCTTTCCTTTGGCCTGGGACATTCTTATTCCTGTTTCTCATCTTTTAGGTCTGAGCTCAACGTCACCTTAGAAAGGGCTTTCTGATGCCCCACTCTAAAGCAGAGCTGTGGTTCTCTGCCACAGCCCCTGGGTCTTTCCTTTATTGTACATACTGTATGCTCTTTTTTGACTTATTTACTTTTTGTTTTGTCTCCCCAAAACCAGAATGTATGCTCTGTGCGCCCAGGGGCCTTGTCTGTCTTGTTCACTGCTGCATCTCTAGCACCCAGAACGGTTCCTAGCACATTAGGTGTTGTAAATATTCATCCCATGAAAAAATCGGGCTGCAGGGCCAGGACTTAAAAGCTCAGTCTTTATGACCCCCAAATTTGAGCCCTTTCTCCTACATTCTGCTCCCGGGGCAGAGTCTGGTATTAGTGGGAAGGGAATTGCCTGAGAGTCAGATCTGGCTTTGCAGCGACTTCAGGGGTGCCATTGGGCAAGTCCTTTCCTTTCCCGAAATCTCGGTTTATCCATCTGTTCTAAGCTAGCTCTGAGCCACAAGGACCCTGCCAGTGAGAGGAAGAGAAGCAGATACTTCTCTGTCCACCAGGTGGAGCCATTGGTTCTTTTAATTTTTTCTCTCCGCTGGACTTGGCTGCCGGGATCTCTGGTTCTGACTGTCAGGGTCCCTTCTCATCAAAACACACATGCTCTGCTATCCCCACACCACCACCAAACACCAATGACGTGTTTCTTTATTCTCACATATTTTTTAAATTTTAATTTATTTAGTTTTTAAAGGAACTTTTTATTTCAGAATAAATTTAGATTTACAGAAACATTGTGACAATAGTACAGAGAGTTCCCATATACTCCATACCTATTATTTCCCCTATTATTAACATCTTAAATTTATATGGTACATTTGTCACAATTAATGAGCCAATATTGATACATTATTATTAACTAAAGTCCGTACTTTATTCAGATTTCCTTAGTTTTTAGCCTATGTCCTTTTTCTTTTCCAGGATCCCATCTAGAATCATACATGTATTTCATTATCATGTTTCCTGAGGCTCCTCTTGTCTGTTACAGCTTCTCAGACGTCCCTTGTTTTTGATAACCACCAGCGAGGTTTTTGGGTGGGACCATAGTTTGTCTCTTGAGCTTATGGTCACTTAAGATTTGAAGCTGAGAGTTACAACCTTGGTCTCTGGGAAACTTAGGAACAAATTTTTGTGGTAGAAATTGGTGACTTTCTGCTCAGATCCTTGGGCTGGTCTTTAGAAATGGTCCTCTTGATGAAATATTTCTGGTACCTGCCATGTACCCAGCCCTGTGCTCGGTGCCAGGGAGGAGTGGAGCTAAGACAGGGTCCAGTTCTTTTGTCCAAGTTAGAGAATAGATGCACAAGAAGGCAGAGGGCAAGACTCCACCTTCCCGTTTCACCCAAGGATGCATGCAAGGTGGAAAAGGGGTGACAGGTCTCTGGAAGGTCTTCCTTCCCGTGGGACCCTCTGAAGGGCACGGCCACAGAGCTAGAGGATTTGGAATGAGAGGAGGTTTAGGGGAGTCCTCAGTGGTGTGCTCTCAGCTCTTGGAACCCAGCCCCCATATTTCTCTGGGAGGAAGATTGGGGCCTGGAGTTTCTTTCCTCTTCTTGAGAAAGAAACCTCCTCTAAGCCTTTGTGGTCACCATTGCCTTCTAATTCACTGTAATAACTTAGGTCTGTTCTGTGCTCCTTGGCTCATAAAGAGACCCCGTCGAGTCCTAGCAGCATCTTAGGGAGGTGAGTGCCATTTTTTTCAGCCTCAGGAGGCTGTGAGGAAACTGAGGCTCAGGTCCCACTCAGCAAATAGTTGGTGGAGGTGGGATTTGAATCCAGGTCTTTGTGTCTCCTAATTTTCACTTCTTCCCCCACCACACCCTGCAGCTGTTGGGCCCAAAGCTTAGAGGAAAGTAGTATTTTTGGAACTTTTTCTCTTTATCTCTTGGCCAACTAAGTTATGTTCTGCTCAGAAGTTGGCAGTCTGTTCTAGCTTGCAGACCTGGAGGGGAAGAGGCCCCTGCTCCAGCCCAAGCCTGCCCTTCTCGGGTAATCTGGGATGGGACCACTTGAGATGGTGGTTTGCTGGCTGTGGGGTGCGAGGGGACAGCCCAGGGCTTGGATGGAGACCACGTGGGTATGTTGTCCACCTGTGCCTCTCACCAACTGTGGGGCAAATCACTTTTTACCTGTGATCCTGTTTCATCAGTGAGATGGTGCTAATATGCCTGTCCAGAGGCTTCACTGCAGTGAATAAGGGATATGAAACAGTTTGTCAGCTGAAAGCCCCAGACAATGATAACAGAGGTGGTTATCGTTTGCTGTGAGAAGATCCAAGACCCCAGAGGGAAGCTGCTTCCCTGCAGAAGCAGGCTGAAGAAAGAAGCTCATGTCCTGAAACTTCAAACCCATGTCCAGGAAAATGCCAAGCAGAATCCCCTATTCACCCACAGACCCTTCTGCTCCTGCAAACCTGGAGCAGGGAGGAGACCCCAATACCCTCTAGTATTGGACATCAAAGCCTCTTGAAGGCAAGAGGTAGCATCTATCCCAGCTCCAAACTCTCCATCTTCCAGCACAAGGTGGGCCGCACACTGTACACTCAGATGTTGAGTGAAAAAATAAATGAGTGCATGAGTGAATGAAGAAATGCCAGGGCTGTCAGGAGGTCCAGACTTTACCTCCTGACCCCCAGGCTCCCATCTGGGCCTCCCAACCTTCTTGTCCCCACCCTTCCCTTTTCACAGCAGTGCATGACACCAGGGGTACCAAAAAGGCAAACTGGACTTTATTATAAAGTTGGCTACAAAGTCACCGCAGCACCACGAGGTGGCCACCTGGGCACGCCCAGGCAGTCTGGTGGTCGGTGAGTCCCGCACCAGGTACACGCACTCGTGCAAGCACACGTGTGACGGCGGCAGGTCTGCCTTCCTCCATCGGAAAGGAACGTAGCGTCTCTTCGCGCCCCCCACCCCAAGCGCGGGGCACAAAAGTCACAAGAAGGGCCGCCAGGGCGGCAGAGTCCATCGGAATTGAAATCCCGTTACTGGTGTGTAGAGAATTCTACGTGGGTGTCAAGAGCCCCTCAGGGCACAGGCTGGCCCGGGTGGGCGCTGCCTTTCCCCCATCAAGGCCCAGGGGTGGCTTGGCCCCCAGGAGTGGAGAACTGGCCCAGGCCCATGGGGCAGCGCGGGGGGGAAGTGAGACTCCCCCATTCTCCGCTTGAAATCCCATTCAAGGAAACTCACTACGAGTGAATACAGATTGAAATGGAAACTGGGATCGCTCGAAGTCTCTAAATTTTAAAAAGAAGCTTCCCTCCCATGCCCTCCCACCTCCCCCCCCCCAAAATCCTGCAGGGCCTGGGGAATCAGATATATCCCCCTCTGGCCCCCAGAATCCCCCCAACAGTCCCGGGGGGGTGGAGAGCGGCTCCACGTCTTGATGACAATATGCCATACTTGACGACGTTAAGTCACAGACTTATTCAAAACGTTGGTTCCCCTCCACTTCCATCTGCAGAGAGAGAGAGAGAGGACAGTCAGTAGGGCCTATTAGGAAAGAGGGTTCCCGGGCTGAGGATGTGGTGCACTGTTGGCACCTAGTATGGGCCTCAAATATGTTGTCCTAATGACTGAATAATCACCAGAGGCTCAGCAGATAAGGGAGCAGTTTGGACAGATGGAGTGAAACTATGGCTGTAGTTTTGGAAAGGCCGGAGCCATAAGCAGGGAGCCTCCGATGGGGCCAGGGGCTGAGTCTCTCTCTCTTTCCTGAACTCCTGTAAACTCTTGCTCTGTATTCCCTTTAGGGGGCAAGAATACCGAGATAGAGCTCTAATCCCTCTTCCGTCAATTTGTTGTGTGACCTTAGGCGAGTTTCTTTAATTCTGGGGCCTCGATTGTCTTCATCTGGACTATGGGGTGGTGATAGCTGGTCTACATCTTTCATAGAGTTAAGAAGCACAAGCTATGACCCAAGGATTCTCTTGCACTTTATCCCACAGCCCACACGCCTGCCCTCCAGGCCTACTTGTCCAAAACTTGCGTATTAAGATTTTCACTAGTTCTTATCCTCACTCTACCCTGGGCAGCAAGTGATGTCATCCCATTAATAAAACTGAGGTCCAGAAAGGGGAATTTACTTGTCTAATTCCACCTAGCATCTTATTGGCAGGGCAGGGCCTTGAGTTATTGGACATTTTGGCTGGACTCACCTTCATGGAAGCTGTCTTGAACTTGGCTCTGGAGTTGATGCAACTCATCAGGAAACCCATCATAGGGGAATGCTGAGACACCTGTCTCAAAGGCGGTTTCATATGTGGCCAGGTCCTCCAGGAAGCTGTGGTCTTCTGGGGACAGGTTGTTGCAAGGCGATGGGGCCCCTCCTGGGACCGCTGCCTCAGGATCCCCTGAACTCCATTCCCCATTGGGGTCTGGAGTAGAGAGATCCATGAAGATGTCTTCCACGGGCGTCTCTTCCAGGAATATGTTATCAGGGTCAGCCAGGAAATCTAGCTCCTGGCATTTCCAGGGTTTCAGGTCCAGGCTGAGCACAGGGGGACCAGCCCCCGACAGGGACAGGTTGGAGTCCAGGGGCTCCAGCCCCCCAAGCGGCTCCAGCCCGCCCGTGCCAGCCTCAGCTGAGAAGGGCCTGTCCATGCCCTGAGCCAACTGGCTGATCTGCTGGATGAGACGGTCTATCTCATTCTGCTCCTTCTCAGAGTAGTGGAAGAAACTCTGCTTGACTGGAGAGGCTTCAGGTGTAAGTAGGCCTTCAGGCACCAGGGGGACGTCCACAGAGAGGGGGCCCCGGAGCTGGGCTAGGGCCAGGAGTGTGCAGTCCCCATTACCCGGGCTGCTAGGACTTGGGGGCAACTTCTCATAGAGAAAACTGCATCCCTCCTGGGCGAAGTAAGTCTTGGTGTGACTGGGGCTCAGTTGCTCTGGGAAAGTTTGGCTGGGGCTGTTCAGGTGTGCTCGGAATGCTGTGCTAGGAGGAGTCAGCTGCTCATGGGCAGGGCTCCCCAGAGGCTCTGAGAAGGTGGCAGTGCTGGGAAGCAGCTGGTCTGGGAAGGTGGAAGTGCAGGGATCCAGCTGATCTTCATAGCTTCTGGCTGAGGTTTCAGTCAGCTGGCCTTGTAGTGGGTTAGTCAGTGGATCTGGGAAGGTTGCACTGCTGGGCGTCAATTGATCAGAGAAGGTCGTAGTGCTTGGAGTCATCTGTTCTTGGAGAGAGCTGGATGGAGTGGGCAAGTGGCTCTGGAAGGGTTCATGGAGGCTGAAGAGGAAGGCACAGCCTCCCGGCTGGTGGGGCGTGTAGGGTGGAGTACACACAAGATCCTTGCTCAGGTCTGCTTGAAGAGAAGGCTCGGGGCCAGATGGGAATGTCATGTAACTGAAGCCCAGCTCTTTGGGGGGTCGAGGAAGCTCTTCTGATGTTGAGACAGCACCCAGCTCAGGAGCACTGGGGAAATTGGTACTTCTGGGAGCCCCCAGGGCTGGGGTGAAGAGTAGGTTAGAGCTGGAGCACTGCTCCTGGGAGAGGATGTTCTCAGGGAATGAGGGCAGCATGGCTGGGGTGCCCAGGACATAGGCTGCCTGGGTGTCTTCAGAGTTCAGCTGCTGGCGGAGGCTCCAGGCTTCCGTGTCACTGGAGAGGAGAGAAGAGGCGGCCGGTAAGGGTTTGGTGTCCATTCTCAGATCAGTTCCCTGATTTGTGTCTCTTCCATGTCCAGCTCGGCTGCCCCCCAGGCCCCTGCCTTGCAGCTCACCTGATTGGGTAATTATTGGCAGTAATGGGGCCCTCCGGACCTTCTGAGTATAACAGGCAATAAATCCATGCCCAGCCTCCAGGCTTGGCCTGCAGTCTCACCACCATTTCTGCCTGAATATCTCCACTCTCAGACACTGAAGGGAAAGAAGAGATGCAGAGTTAGGACGTCCATCAGGTGACACCACTGAAACTCCCCCCTTGATGACCTCTCCACTGAATTGGGGTATCCATGGCATCCTCTTTTCTGACTACCCTAACCTGCCACTTAGCTCCCCACCTTGACCTCACCAGTTGGAGTCCCCCAGTTCTGATTCTATTCTCACCTTGACTCCTCACCCTAATAATCACCCTAAAGCATCCAGAACTATTGGCCTCTGCTAGCTCCCCAGCATCAGTCTTGACCACAGCCCTTCTTGGTCAGGTATCCCAAGCCCTTTCCCAGCTCCCTGTCTTGTCCCCAGCCTCTCTGGACACTCACACAGGCGGTAGTGTTGAGCAGAAGCGTGGCTCAAGTCCTCAGGGTGCAGCAGTCCATACCATGATTTACAAAGCAGTTCACTGCGCTCAAAGCCCAGGTAGATTAGGACACTGGGAAGGTGGAAAGGGTGAGGTCAGCTTTCTGTTTTCCCTGCTTGATACCCAGGCATCTCATTCCCTCCCAGGTCCTCTGCCCCCTTAGACTCCATCCTCCCTGCCCCTGACTCCCGAATCTAGGGTCCCCTCATCTCTGGCCCGCCTTCCGCCTGGGGTCTGAACACTCTGGGCTTACCTTTCAGAGATGTCAAGTAGGGCCAAATCCTTAGCATGATGGCTCTGAAACATGGCCAGGAAGAGTGAGGCAGGGCCAAGGCCAGGGCCAGGGCCAGGGCGTGGTCTTGGCTCCAGTGGGGCACAGAAAGCTGTGAACACAGGGTTTCCTGCCCAGTAGGCCCCAGGTGGGTGAGCATGGAATCGGCCTCGAATAAGCACCAGTTTGTTGCCTGCACTCTGGCGCCTGAGGGACTTGGAAGTGTTGAAGCGACAGCGGAAGAGGCGATCTAGGTGAAGGAGGAGAAAAATTGATAAGAGGGTGGATGGCTGACAGAGATGGCAGATGGGGAGGAGCAGGGCAGCAGGAGGGAGATTGGATTGAAGAAGGGAGTTCTTACCAGAGTCCAGGGCAGAGGGCAGAGTAAGTTGCTGGCGCACAGTAAGGTGGTCAGCTGGGTCAATGATGTCATAGATACTGTCACCCTGGGCAACTAGGTCCACCTGGAGAAAGTAAAGAAGAGATGACCATTAGTGAAGACAGCAAGAGGCAACCCTTGGCACATAGCACCTTGCAGTGTATAACCTCTGCCTCCAGTAATTCTCAGATTCTCAGAAGTGAAAAGCTCATCGTTTCCCATCTGTGCCCCAGCCCAAGCTGAGAAGACTCTCAGCACTCACCATGGAGTGGCCCAGATGCTCGCTCACACTCTCAGACAGATATAGCAGCTTCCCCTCAGCTGTGAACACCAGCAGAAAGCCAGGTAGTGCCGCCACTATGTCTTCAAGCTCTTGAGCTGAGAGAAGCCCTGTGGGGCCCGCCAGAGGAGTGCCTGCAGGGTGAGAAGGTATGATAAGTCAGGAGTAAGACTGGGAGGCAAAGCAGAAATGAGGAAGACATGGACTGAGTTTCAGAAAATCCAGAGGAATTTCTCATGGACCTGCCTCTGCACACACCTGTTGACCCTCTGCCACCAGTTCTTGCCCAGAGAACCTGTTGCTGAATTTCCCCAGCCCGTGAAGCCCTTCGACTTCTAGGTCGGGGAAGAGAGTTCCGGGGCCCTGAATTTCAGAACCACGCACAGCGTCCCCAAGCCGACCAGGCGATCAGCACCGCGGGCAGCGCCTCGCACACCGGGTGGTGCTGTCAGCACCGCGGACAGCGCTTCAAAGGCGGCCGATGAGCCCTTTCATCACCGCGAACAGCGGCTACGCTTCCCCAGGCTTTGGCGGCTCCATCCCTGCAACTTCCCGGGCTTCTCTCCCCGGGCTCCCGGAGCGCCTCTGCGCTGGTGAAGATGTGGCCATTCTGTCCTGGCTCTCCTCCTCCCATAAAGTCGGGCACCACGGACATTATCTAGGCTCTCTAACCTTCATCCAGAAGTAAAACGAGGTCTGGACAGAGCTCAAGAGGAAAAGTACTAAGTCTTGAGTTCCCCAAGTCCCTTCTCTCCCTAGCTCACCAACACGCTGTCCTAGACATGCGGCAGTCCCACCGGGTTCCCTCAGCTCCACTGTCCCTGGTGCCCTCCAGCTCGGGTCTCCAGCAGCCCCGGTTTGCTCACCTCCAGCGAAGAAGACGCCCTTGCGAGTGTAGATGCAGGCAAGACTCATAATGTGCAGGTAGGACAGCCGGACCTTGTCCGCTTCGGCCAGCGGCAGCAGGTCCTTGAGGTTCCGGATCTCAGCGTTGATCTGGTCGCGGCGCGCCTTGGAGGCGCCCTTGGTGGAGCGGTACATGACTAGCGGCTTCGGAGCTCCAGCTCGGGCGCTCCGAACACCTGCGTTCCCGTCCCGACGCGCCGGTGGCTTCCTCCTCCTTGCTTTCCCGTCTCTCGCTCAGGCTCTCTCTCTGTCTCCTCTCCTGGGCTCCGCTCGGCTGCGCTGCCCCCCTCGTTTGCCTCGTTCAGCCTTATATAGCTCCTGCCAGGCGTGGGGGGCTCGCTTTGGAGAAAGGGGGGGCGGGAAAGCGGGAGGCTGGGCTAAGCAAGCTGCAGCGGGAGCCACTGGCTGGGGAGGGGGGGAGCTCCTCCTCCCTCCCTGGCTTCCGACGTCATCGCATGACGTAGAACGAGAGCGGGAGGGGGAGCCAGAGGGAGGGGGGGGACGGAGGCTGCGGAGGGGGCCGCGGCTGGCTGCAGCTGAGCCGAGAGGCAGGCGCCGGGTTAGGAAAGCCTAAAAGGGGGTCCAGGGACCTAGGCGTCCGAATGTGTTCAGCTGAGGGCAAGGGTTGAGGCGGTCTGAAGCCCCTGGCAGGAGAGTCTGTAGAGGGCAGGGAGGGGCTGGTTCCGACATCGATTTTTCTAAGGAGATAAGGGAATGGGGAGGGGCAGGGTCGTTCACAAATTCCCCTTCGCTATTTGCCAGACAAAGGTCACGTTCACACGGGAGGGAGGGTGGAGAAGGAACTTCCTTGGCCTCTGCGCGATAGGTCACAGCCGGGATTTCTCTCTAGGGATTACTCAACCTGGGATTCCCTTAGTCACTTTCAAAGAACAAATCTCTTCCCCCTCTTTCCAAACCTAGGCGTTGGCGATTTAGCAGGGGGAGTTCCCTGGGGGTCTAAGTCCCTAGGATGGGGTGGAAAGGGGGTCCTGAGGGAGAGGGGCCAGCTGAATTTGGCCTTGGTTCTATTTTCCCACAGGCAAGAATAGAAACACCAACACCCACGCTGCAGTCTGCAGTGACTCTTTCTTTCCCTGTCAACTAATTAACCTCAGCCACTGACGGGAGAAACTGAGGCAGGGTCCCAGGGCATGGTAAGGATCTGAGTCTGCACCTAGGTATCCCTCCCCCACCCCCATTGCCAGCCCCTAAAGCCAGCAGTTTCCCCCGCCCGACTGCAAGCCTCTGTCTTCCCGCGGGCCGGGGGCGGGGGCGGGGCCGGGGGAATCCCAGCTCCATATTAGGACAGGAATCCTCCGGCTGCAACCGTGGTGGCGGCGGGCGGGGCCTGGCTGCCTCCGCATCGCTCCAGAGGGCTCCCCCCCGCCTCTCGCAGGGAAAATAAGGAAGCAACAGAGAAGCGAGGGGGCCGTGCTGGACCCTCCGAGATCCCCGCACCTAGCAGGGACGCCTTAACTCCATCAGGCTGTCCCCCCCAACCCCCTCCAAACCCCTCCCCATCTCCGGGGTAGGACCTCTCCCTCTGTCTCTCCACCTTCAACTCTCCACATGCCCCTCCCTCCGCCCCAACTAGTTTCTTTATCTCATTGCCTGCTTGGTGGTCTGTCTCAGCTTTGTGTGCCCTCTACCCCCCAAACATTCCCCTTCTGCTCTTTCAAGTTTTTCTTTCTTTGTTAGTTTTGTCTCCACATCATGTCACCTTTGCCCTATCTCTTTCTTCTTTTTCTTTTCATCACAAATGATTGCTCTCTATAGGGGTTCAGAGGTGCCTTTCTTTCCCTCTGGGATTCCATAAAAGGAGAAAGAAGTGGGCTAGGGGACATTTTATGTGAAATCTCATTTGGTGGAGTAGGGGTCTGTATGACATCACTTGAGGGGCTGGAAATGAGGCCACTTAAAACATGGGGGGAGAGGGATTGGCCTGATTGTAGAAAGTCACATAGGAAGGGTAGAGGTAAACTTTGATACCAACAAGCAAAATTTGGGGTCAAGGAACTCCTCATTCCTCATGGGAAAGGGTAGCAAGAGAGGCAGTGTGGGAGGGGAGACTGCTGAGGAGAAGGATGCCTGGGGGCCCAATCCTAACTTACTCTTGTGCCATTTTGGCAGAGGTTGGGGTCATCCCCATCAACCATCCTGTACTGATGAGGGATGAAGGAGATGGAGGGAAGGGGTGTGTGTGTGTGTGCGCGCCACTGTTTCTAACCCTATTTACCTGGATGACAGAAAAATGGTTCCTTCAGGAAGCGTGTGCCTGTTCCACTTTCATCTCTATCTGACGCCTGATGTACCCACCGACCCTCCCTCAAGCTTCTGTTTGGATAAGCCCTTGATCTTTGGACCCCCTTATTGTATGAAAATCCAGGGCAGTGTTCCTTTTTCTTCACCTACTGATGCTTTAGGCCTGGCTGGGAGAGGTTCTTAGTGTCCTTCTCCATGATAAGAAGTGTCTATTAGTTGGGTCCAGCTGGTCTCCTGCGGGCTGAGCAGATCCACAGCGAAAGAATGGGGCACTGACCGCTGTCCATGGTTCTGAAATAATCACCAGGGAAGTCGTACTGGCCATGGTCTGCCTGGGACATCAAAGAGAGCTTGAGTCCACATAGGCCTCAGAGTGAGGCCCCAGTTGATCGTCCCCTTCTCCTCTGAGGATTAATATGGGAAGGGGTTTCAGGGGGCCAAGATTTCTGAGCTCTAGCAGTGAAGTAAGCATGGGGAAGAGCCCTTGGATTTTTCCAGGAGAATGGACTGGAGAGAAGGCACTCTGGAGGGGAAGAAGGGTCTAGAAAGGGACAAGGGAGGGAGTAGAGAAGGGCTCATCCTAGTTTGCCCACTTTTATTCAAGTTGAGAAGCTCTGTATGCCCCAATGTCTCCTCTCCCTAGGCCAACTCCCACTCCTCTTGCCTCCCACCTCCTTGAAGCTATTTTTAACTGTGCAGAACCAAAAATAGCTTGGCAGCAGCTTCAGGCCGTGGGAGAAGAGCTATTTATATCACCAGTGATGGTTCCAAAATAGCAAGCAGGAGGAGGGGGGCGGCTGGCACGCTAGAGAGCTCCTTGCCGCTGCTAAAAATACTGGCAGTATGAGTCATCCTGGCCTGGCTGAGTCACCCCACTCTCCTCCCCAAGCGGCAAGCAGCAGCAGAACAGGCTAAGAATTGGAAGCCCGAGATGGGGGAGGTTATCAGAGCTCATCAACTATGGGAAAGTGGGCAAGGGAGTGAATAGAGAGGGGGGCTTTGGGGTAAGTACGTAGAAGGAATGGGGGGAGCAGGAGCCACCCAGCCAAATCCACTGAGTGAGCCTGCAGCATTCCCAGCTATGCATTGCTGTTTGAGGATGCTTGGGCAATTGAAGGGAGGGAGCCAGCTATGAGGGTGTACCTGTGTGTGTGTCTGTCCATTTGACCGTGATTGTATTTGTATGTCTCTGTGTGTCTGTCTACATGTGTCTTTGTAGCTGTATGTCTGTATCCCGGTATATCTATGCATTCACCTATGCCTGCATCTATGCCTGTCTTTATAAAAAATGTCTACAACTTCCCGAATTGTGTGTAGTTCTATGTTTGTGCCTGTATGTATTTATATGTTTGCAGCTTTCTGTGTGCCTCCCTGTCCATGTGTGTTTGTGTCCACATCTGGGTCTGCTCTGTGACTTTTTCTCTCTGCTTATGATGGTGTACGTGGATTTGCATGCATCCCCAGCCTCAATGTACCCTTTGTTGCCCTCTCTGATGTCACTTGTTGGGCTCTTGCACCATCCATCCCATATTCACCTCTCTCCACCCAGCATCCTCCCTTCTTTCCAGCCCTTGGCCCCCAACCATTTGTTAAGATCTCTGTTCCATGCAATCTCTAGTGAAAATATGGAGGAGGGGAGCCCCATATGACCTCTCTCTTTTCTCTTGAACCATCCTGAATCCTCCCTGGCCTGCAGGAGTAAGTGGTTTTTCATCGCTCCATATTTGGGGCGCTGAGGGAAGAGAAGGGCTTTCTTTAGTTCTAAAAAAAAAAAAAATTCCTGGTGTGGGCACAGGCATGCGCAGCGCACACACACATATATACACACACAACTGAAAGAGAGAATGAGAGAGAGAAAAAAATATCAAGGTCCCTTCTTTACTGAGACGAGCTCGCATCTGTTGCCATGGCAACCCGCCCACTCCTTCCCTGAAAAATCACCAAGAAGAGGTGATGGCATCTAGGAGGGATTGGCTGATTTCTTTCTTTATTATTTTTTCCGAAAAGGGGCTTTTTATAGCAAGAACAGGCCATGAGATCCCTTGCCCCTGTCTTGTATAGCTTTATTAGGGACCTGGAGGGACATCACCCACCAACCTCTATGAGAGAAAAACAGGTGTATCTTTTCCAGAGATTTCGAGGAGGACGACTTCCTGGGAGGGAGCTGGAGGGTGAACAGAGAGTCTATTTCCTTAGAACAGCACGGAGACTCCTGATTAGGGCTGTTTTCTGGAGACTTGGGGCAAGGATCTTGACAGAGAGCTGTCAAAGTGCACCCTGGACAATTGTGTCTATGAGAAGGAGAGAGAGGGGAGAAAAGAAGGAGAGAGAGAGGATGTATACCACTTGATGGGTCTTCAGAGCACATAACAAGATGGCAAAGAATGCAAGCTCTCGGTGGTGGTCAGACAAGACGGATGGGCAAGATGGCTCAAGAAAGATCCATTAATGCAATGGTGGTGCTGTGAGTCACCACCAGATCACAGGTGTTGCTACTTGATTTGCACCTCAGGGAAGCTGGGGCCATAGGTGAACCATATAGGGGAGCATTGAAGCTCACCTCTCCCAGCTCTAGTCCCAGCCTGAGTTTCAAAGGCCTCCTCTAAAGCCTGGCCACCAGCCACTGCAGCCACATCACTTTCTCAAGTGAACTGTAGCCTCCTGCCAAATGACTGGATGGTGGAAAGGAAGGGATTCCTCCACCTGTGCTTGGCTTGCTACAGAAATGGGGTCACTTGGGGCTGGAGGTTGGAAAGCCAAACCAAGAATCTGACTCTAGAAAGAAATACCTCCCACTTTCAGCAGGCTGCCACCATCCTCAGCAGGCAAGGGCATGGCCTGGGGAGGAGGTTTAGCTCTACTTGAAGTAGAGCTCCATCACTTGAAGTGACGGAACAGAGGAATGAAGACTTCAGATTTGCTCTGACCTGTTAGACCTATTCTCATCACAA